TATGTCCAATATCACCACATTTAAAGCACTTTGAATTAAAAAAAATTACATGAATTAAAAGAGTGGAACCTGCTACAGGACAAACAATGAACAAACGTGTGCCCATTTTCGTGAACTGTATCGCAACTCCTCAATCAATTGTCTGCATAACCTTGAGTATGCACTGGATTGGGACGACCTATTGTAGTGGAATTTTTTATATCATCATGAATCGTTTTACGAACTCTTCCTCCTTTACCACATACTAAATTTTTGTATACTCAACATTGTCTAGCAGATCGTTGAGTTGTATAAGAAGGCGAAATGGACTTTTTCAGTAAAGTCAGAGTTATTAACAAGCTATAAGCTTCTTTTCCGATGAATGTGAGGAAGTGTGCTACAATATTAGCATCCTCATCATCTTCGCTGGTCAAAGCTCAGATTTAGAACCTTTCAAATTAATCCTCAAAAGGTCAGTTAATGAAGGCCGGAATGATTTGTAGTAAGGTGCCAAGTTTTTATCATTCTAATAATAATAATACTGATAAACTTAAATTTGTGTGGATATAATATGTGATAAAGGAGTATAGTCAAGGTAATTACGATAAAAAGGAATGAATGTGAATTAGAAAAGATGAATGGGTGGATTAAGTGAGATCTATGTATAATACATCATCAAGGAGATTGACATTTAAAGAAAGGAATTGTGATTCATTGGTTTATTTTCAAAGATCACATGTTAATACCGAAAAGCTGAGTGAACAATAGCATGTAAAGAAGACATGTGATTGAGTCCTAAATTGTAGCGAAATATAGATTGCTTTATATTTATCAAAATATCTCTGTTCAGCATAAGTCAGTAATGGGAGAAACGAAGAAAGTGGGACAAAATATCATACAACTGTGGTGTATACTACTTTTGTCTGAAGACATAAGTAGTATGTAACACCGATGGGAAGTGGAAAACCTGACATCAGAAGAATAAGAAGACGGAGTTGAAGAGAATAGAAGGGAGAAAAGAAAGAAATTTGGAACTGGAAGAATCATGCGGAATGTGATGGACAACTGATGGAGATTCGCAAATGAAGTATTCAATGCAATGGTTGTGATATTTGATCAAAATATTGATGAAACGATAATTCGGAAAATTGTTAGGTGAGTGGTTCTATTTGAGACGATAAGCATAACCATTGTAACTGCAATATGGAGATTCATCATATGATCTGATGACTTAAGCCACTATCAAGTTAGTCACATGTTACGATTAATACTGCAGAATAGACTGCGTTTTTGGATAATCTGGATAGTCTATTTACCAAAATCTCAAATGCCATAAGTAAGTAAGCATACGAGTAAGTCATTAATACATTTGAACTTAGTGGGCAGTGTTTTTAGTCTTATTCAGCTTGTTTATCTGGTTAACTCTGGTCCTTCTTGATTAAATTATGAATAAGTGTAGCTGAATTTCACATCATAAGTTGACCACAGTAAAATTTAAAAGCTACAATGAACATTATACATCTAATAAAATCCCGTTTATCCACCCTTAATAGCCTGCACATTTTTGTTTTTTGTCGAAACTGATTATCGTTGAAGCATGCAGCACAATTGTATGTTCGACATTAGAATATACAAATATTGGTAATAAGTAGAAGGAGTATATCAGTCTTTGTTGAAGTACACTTCATGTAGGCGACAAGTTGTTGAAAGAACTTTTTGAGAAAACTTCATGCATTAAGTACACGAATGGTAATGTTTAACATTCAAAATATGACGATCATTTGTGCTGTCAACACAAAATTACATTGAAAAAATAAGAGTATATTATCTAGATAAGGTATTGGAGGATTCTTATACTTTTTCTTGTATACATGGATTCTAATGCATTAATGTCTCGTCCTACCAAAAGATATACAAGGAGAGACATATAAATGAAATGGGTGGTTAGTACGTGATAAGAGAACACCTGTCAGAATTTAGCTAGAAACAAATTTTTATCTACAGCCCCAATAATACTGACCTCAAAAAGTTCTCCGTACGCCTTGCTAACTGCCTCGAGCACTCTTCGCAATACATCAAAGTTGCATTTTCAAAAGCCCATGAATGGATAATGGAGAACAGTAAAGACAATTACTTTAAAATTATTTACGCCTGTTACTCCTCGTGAAGGAGCATAGGCCGCTCATCAGCATTCTCCATCCAACCCTGTCCTAAGCAATCCTTTCCAGCTTCTTCCAATTCTTATTCATCCTTTTTCACATTTGCTTCTATTTCCCGACGTAATGTGTTCTTTGGCCTTCCTCTCTTACGCTTCCCTTCAGGATTTCAAGTTGGAGTTTGCCTTGTGATGAGGTTTGATTATTTGCGTAATGTATGTCCTATTCATTTCCATCGTATTTTCCTATTTTCTTCTTCAGTTGGTAGCCGGTTTCTTCTCTCTCTGAGAAGTCTTTCGCTCATGGTATCCAGCCAACGAATGTTGAGTACCTTGAGGAAACGACATTTTGTTTAATGTTGACATCTTTCTAAAATGAAACTATACACCTCTATTGTACCAAGAAAAGAAAACTGTTTGTATATATTACCCAGACGTAAATATTCCCGAAATATTTCGCTCAAATTACCATTTGCTTACAAAGAAATAAACGTTTGTTCACTGAGTGTTCTTTGACGTTTAGCGCGAAGTAAATACAACCTTGTCATTTTCATATCACAGTGGTTAACTTGTGTGTTTCGACACAAATGACAATTATGACAAGATCAAATGATATGAGAATGTAGTTTATTAAAATAATTAACTAAAAATCAGTCGTTTTCTTGTGTATTAACAGCTTTCTTGAGGTTTTCAGATACAATTACTACTAATGTAACTACAAATCCGAATGGGTCTTGTGGAGAGTTTTAGAAACTTCACAGGTTGAAATCATGAGTCAATTGAAGCTAGACCACCATGCGAAACGTGGAAGCACTGGACGGCTGTTTCGTCCCAGCATGGGACTCCACTATCCTGCACCGTGCGGGGCCCGAACCCAGGACGTACTGGCTTCACGCGCGAGCACTTAACCACTAGACCACTGGGCCGGCATCCAACGTTGTTAATGTCTAACTTCAACCAATCCACGAAGTTGCGCCACCGTACACCATTCTGTTCAGTGAGTTGTTATCTCACAACAGGACGAAACGGCCGTCTAGTGCTTCCAGGTTTTCCATGGTGGTCTAGCTTCAATCGACTCATGATTTCAAAGTGTAACTACAAAGCTTTGTCTGATTAAAGAAATCGTTTTCAATTTTAACGAGTTAACTTCCGCTGAAATATATCACCTTTCTTTTACTACAATCTTTGTTAACATCGATCTATATAACTGAACATATATGCAGTACAATTTCTAAATGGTCACTAGAAAATGTATTGTGCTTTTTGATTTGAAGATCTATCAACAGTCAGCAGTGTAGTGTGATGGATAAATAGAGTACATGTGGTTTTGTTCACAAGTCATCATTTCACATCAAACGACTTATGCAATCGTTTGACAGAATGTGTTTATTGAAATCAAATTCAAATGTGAATGTGTAATGTTTCACATCCAATCAAAACAGTTTGTGCTACTTTTGTTTTAACCAATCCAATCAAGATTGTGCACTATTAAATGTCACTTAACAGATTATTACAGACAACAAACTGTTTGTCCGTGAACATATGAGCAGATCTTTTGAACTACAAGTTAACCAATCGTTGATTATCAATTAGTGTTAATCACATTCATGTTAGGTTTCATCAATAGGGGTCAGGAATTTCAAACAACTGTGGATAAATTTCAGCTCATGTTATCAACAGCCAGAAAAATATTGAATAAAGATGGTCTCATCTACGTCTATGATTGGTTAACAATGAACGATTTTACCACGTATATTCATCTTAATGGTCAGTTTGAATCATCGAATCAGTAGTAAACAACAATACACTTCAAAATTCTATATAAACCTGACACGTTCTATTCAAATATGACCTACTACTTTGAACAAGAAGATGAGGTGAGTGTTGACTGAACATACGAACTCAAATTGAAAATCGACACAATGAGATAACATTGTTTATTTCATCTGAACCATTTTAGACACAACATGTTATCTTCTCAATCAATGTCACTTATTCTAATTGTCGTGTGGCTCACCAAATTCTCCAAATGCCAGGATATCTGTGAACAACGTGAATGGACGACCTCGGAAAAAGTCATTTTTGAAAATTGATCAAATCGATATGTAAGTAATCAGTTTGATCGTTATACACATACTCAGTCTCAGCACTATATGTATTTGCAGAGTATCAGTTTTAACCAGCCTCAGCCAGATGTGAGTACAAGTTTGGTTAAATCTACTGGTCGTTTGGTGAGTCGATTACATTTTTTGATGAAGGTACTTGTCCCTATGTTTACGAATGTGGTTGCAAAGATAGAGTTCAAAACTCGATGGTCAACAAAAACAGCAACTCAGAGACATTAGACTTGTATTGGTGAAGTATTTGCTAGAAAAGTATTAGAAGACATGAAATATGAGTTGATAGTTGTTCATAGATTTCAGTAATCCAAATTAACTTCTCTCACAACATCGCTTATTGTTGCTCATGTGATAAGTTCGGTTAATTTAGTCTACAAAGATGTCAGTGAAATCATACTTTTAATACCAACCTCTGTTTGAACTATCGTTTTGTTGAAACTTGATCAGTCCTGTTTGGCACAGATTGTCTCGATGAAACCATTATCACACAAGTTACGTAGGAAAAGTGTGAGATGTGGCATTTCGTTTAGTACTTGTCAGTCAGATCAAATATCAACTCTGAGATTGGGTAAAACCTACTGACAGGTCTTAAGTAACTTGATTAATAGATTAGTTCGTTCAGCATTTCAATGACCTGTCTTTGAAAGATTTTTAACCAAATAACAGCAAATTAGAAACAATAAAACGTCTAGTTGATAGGTCCAACAAATGCTCATAATGAAGACAGAATATACAAATCGATTTATTCAATCATTATACAACAAAAATAAATGTATGATTGTAGTAGTAGTAGTAGTAGTAGTAGTAGTAGTAGTAGTAGTAGTAGTAGTAGTAGTAGTAGTAGTAGTAGTAGTAGTAGTAGTAGTAGTAGTAGTAGTAGTAGTAGTAGTAGTAGTAGTAGTAGTAGTAGTAGTAGTAGTAGTAGTAGTAGTAGTAGTAGTAGTAGTAGTAGTAGTAGTAGTAGTAGTAGTAGTAGTAGTAGTAGTAGTAGTAGTAGTAGTAGTAGTAGTAGTAGTAGTAGTAGTAGTAGTAGTAGTAGTAGTAGTAGTAGTAGTAGTAGTAGTAGTAGTAGTAGTAGTAGTAGTAGTAGTAGTAGTAGTAGTAGTAGTAGTAGTAGTAGTAGTAGTAGTAGTAGTAGTAGTAGTAGTAGTAGTAGTAGTAGTAGTAGTAGTAGTAGTAGTAGTAGTAGTAGTAGTAGTAGTAGTAGTAGTAGTAGTAGTAGTAGTAGTAGTAGTAGTAGTAGTAGTAGTAGTAGTAGTAGTAGTAGTAGTAGTAGTAGTAGTAGTAGTAGTAGTAGTAGTAGTAGTAGTAGTAGTAGTAGTAGTAGTAGTAGTAGTAGTAGTAGTAGTAGTAGTAGTAGTAGTAGTAGTAGTAGTAGTAGTAGTAGTAGTAGTAGTAGTAGTAGTAGTAGTAGTAGTAGTAGTAGTAGTAGTAGTAGTAGTAGTAGTAGTAGTAGTAGTAGTAGTAGTAGTAGTAGTAGTAGTAGTAGTAGTAGTAGTAGTAGTAGTAGTAGTAGTAGTAGTAGTAGTAGTAGTAGTAGTAGTAGTAGTAGTAGTAGTAGTAGTAGTAGTAGTAGTAGTAGTAGTAGTAGTAGTAGTAGTAGTAGTAGTAGTAGTAGTAGTAGTAGTAGTAGTAGTAGTAGTAGTAGTAGTAGTAGTAGTAGTAGTAGTAGTAGTAGTAGTAGTAGTAGTAGTAGTAGTAGTAGTAGTAGTAGTAGTAGTAGTAGTAGTAGTAGTAGTAGTAGTAGTAGTAGTAGTAGTAGTAGTAGTAGTAGTAGTAGTAGTAGTAGTAGTAGTAGTAGTAGTAGTAGTAGTAGTAGTAGTAGTAGTAGTAGTAGTAGTAGTAGTAGTAGTAGTAGTAGTAGTAGTAGTAGTAGTAGTAGTAGTAGTAGTAGTAGTAGTAGTAGTAGTAGTAGTAGTAGTAGTAGTAGTAGTAGTAGTAGTAGTAGTAGTAGTAGTAGTAGTAGTAGTAGTAGTAGTAGTAGTAGTAGTAGTAGTAGTAGTAGTAGTAGTAGTAGTAGTAGTAGTAGTAGTAGTAGTAGTAGTAGTAGTAGTAGTAGTAGTAGTAGTAGTAGTAGTAGTAGTAGTAGTAGTAGTAGTAGTAGTAGTAGTAGTAGTAGTAGTAGTAGTAGTAGTAGTAGTAGTAGTAGTAGTAGTAGTAGTAGTAGTAGTAGTAGTAGTAGTAGTAGTAGTAGTAGTAGTAGTAGTAGTAGTAGTAGTAGTAGTAGTAGTAGTAGTAGTAGTAGTAGTAGTAGTAGTAGTAGTAGTAGTAGTAGTAGTAGTAGTAGTAGTAGCCATAGTTCATAGATGGTTTAAGTGTCATCTTTTCTTCAGTATACAATCCGATACAACAACAGTCTACACAATCATTAGGTGAATAAAATAAACTGTTTGTAGGTAGAGAATTGTTTGTAATTTATTCGTCTGTTGAACCACATAAAGAATCTAAAATGAGATTGTTGAGGCCTTTCAGAATAGGCATAGAACACAAATCAAAATAAACACTACAAGAAATACTAAGCAAACCAAAGAATGAATTCACAAAAGTAAACTCAAACATCATCTATAAAATCAATTGCGCTGACTGTGAACATCACTACATCGAACAAAACGGATGGGCTCTTCTTCTTCGCCTGCACGAACATCAATAAGCGATCGAACGCTTTAACGTATCCAAGTTTCTTGCCTTTGATTTCTCCGACGCGGTGAAATGTGTCACTCGTGCTAAAGTTAAAGGGGAATAATTAGACAGCTGTTGTACTTTTCATTATAATTTCAACCTAATCGTTGTGCAAAATGAAACGTTAGCAGACTTTTGAGATTTCAGCAGATTATTAGTGAGGAATTTAAATGTACAGAAATGAGAAATTTCCGACTATTGATTACTGCATAACCATATATAGTTTCACTCTTTAGATATGAAGAATAGTATGACCTGATTTACATTCACATAGTGTTAGCTGATTCTCTGTGTGACAAATCGATAAACAGTACAGCGCAATAAGAATAAATTGAATAGTGAAAATGTTAATTGACAAAGTTATTAAAAGGTATTAGTTGAATAAATCCGACCAAGAATGAACTGGAAAACTCAGGAACTAATACAATTATTCGTCGATGATGTTTGATGAGGTTGGTGATTTCGCCAACATTTGGACCAGAAACTGAACAGTATCATGCTCATGACAATACTCGAGGGTTATGAATTTGATCTCATGTGAATTCAAGGCTGGGCTCAAAATGGAGTCCGGAAACAAATTCACTTACTAATCATTTTTCGCTTGAACCATATTATTGTCTGGCATAACTATCAATTGTTATCAAGAAACATATCGTTTATCGAGATAAGCAACTCAAGCAATGAAGATGAGTATGAGTTTGTTGAAAGAGAACATCTTGATAATTTGAATGTTCGCAGTTCTACTTAACAGACCGACTAATTTGGGTGTCTTAAGAAAAGCAATGATATTTGCATGCCATTTTTGTTTTCGTACATGATTTCTCTGTATATATGACAATGAGAGACTCCTAGCGGTATTATTTGCAGTCCACGTAAGCAACGGTGGTCATCGGAGTTTATCCATTCCGGGTGTGAGGAAAATTCCACTATTAGCAACAAGTTTGGTCGTAATAATTTCACAAATTGACTGGAGTGGTTGATATAGGCAAGTGAATATCAGGTTAACAGTTAAGAAGATGAATGAACATTACAAGACTCGAGGATCTTGCACTTTGTTGACAACCCAAATACAAGAATACAGCAGTTGTCCACTGCTCTTCGGATTTATAATAAACTTCCCATAAGAAATTAACTCTGTTGTGTTAATCTTAGAATTCAATAACCTTCACAACTAACTTCTTTCTAAAAAACTTAAAATGTCTAATAAAGAATTGTGGACCAAAGGCATAAATCCACCGAAAAAACTCGGATTATTCAATGTATGAACTGAAATACAGATGGTCAATCTGTGAATGGCTTAGATTATCAATTTCTCAATTTTCATGAAAATGAAAGAGAAGGTTATTAGTTTCAGAGGGTAACGAATCTTTCTTCGTCAAGGATGATGTGATCTATTCATTTTATAAATCGATATATTCTAGAAAATTTGAATAATGTCTGTTGAAGTCAATTATGGGAATAACTGGGATTGATTACACTAAACCATGATCAATAATTCATGTCAATCAATGAACAATTCAATATTAGAACTACCTTGTGAACTCCGGATACCTGGCTCCAATGGATGCATCACTTGAAACTCATTTATACGATCGGACATTTGTTTGTTCGTTTGTCTGTTTGTTTGGAAGGAGATTCAATGATTAATTCATAAATTACACTAGTAATCCATATACTTTCAATCCAACACTCTATGCATAAAAGTGACACAAGTCATATTTCTCTCTATATGTATAAAATTCATTGTCAAATCCGCGTTTCTGTTGTTGTTGTTTTTATATTTTATAACTGTTAAATTTGTCTTACATTGTTCCACTCACTCACTCCCTTTCCACTCTTTTGTAAATTGTCTTGTACTACTTATTTATATTCAGTAAGCAATTGTATTCGCAACACTTTTTATATTCATGTTGTCACGCAAGTTGTAGTGAAATATTCTGAAATGTTCACATATATTTATTACGTTTATTGTACTTATCATTGTATTATCATTTTAATTACTACACCTTAATCACTGCAGCGGTTAACCACAGTTTCATGCATTTGTTTAAATGCAACAGTTTCCAAATTCTTTTGTTCTTGGTTTGGAGTTTCGGTTGTTCATAATCTGTTGTCAAATATAGACACAGATATCAGATGTCTTTTGTATTATCGTATGTTATAATTATTCTTCATGTTACTGTTACAGGAAGGCTTTTTATTTTCCTATTTGAGGGACACTTTTAAGAGCTCCAGACACCTCATAAGTTGAGGTTTGTAACTAAATTTTGTGTATTATTCAATAAAGAACCGGCTATTGTTGACAAATCGTTGATTTGGAACTTCGGTTTCGCGCGTATCTCAGACTGGTGACCTAAACGCTTCGATAGATCTAACAATAATCACTGAAATGATCCTACAGATGGATTATTATTTGTTTATATGATGGAAAACATCGTTAAATCTATTTCAAACCAAAAACAGAACCTATCTGATCGTAGTTCAGGCATATCAACAGATAGATTAGATCAAGATTTAAACTGGTTAATATAGTTACTTCTATTATATGTACGATCTGGATTGTTTCTGTTAGATAAATCATATGAATTTGTAGATGTTTCACTATGAAATTTAGCTCGATGATATATGAAATCCTACAACCCATAGTGTCATTGAATAAGAAAAAGAGAATTCAGCGAAGAAAATTTTCTTTTCGACGAAATCATTTACTTTAGCTGTACATTCGTATATATAGTTATATGGAAAATGGAGTTGTCATGGGTAGCCCATCGGGCCCAATTCTTGCCAATATATTTATGGGAATAATTAATCACAGAATAAACACTGCGTTGAAAGTCACCTACCCAGCAGCAAAACTTACAACAATATGGCAAACGAACTGCTGACTTAAACAAACTAGAATCGACCAGTCCTCTTTCCTTAGTAGCTCCAACTGCATCTACCAATTCACATGTACGTGCATAAGCACATACATTGGAAGAACTGAGAAAAGAGCGCATTTTCGCATTTCTGAGCATGTTCCGAAGAACTTGAGGCTGCGAGGGAATAAGGCCTTCAACAGCGCAATAGCTCGACATCTAATTGACACCGGGCACACCATCGAGATTCCACATGCTTTCAAAATTATCAATAGACAAAGAAGTACGACCACCCTCTGTTTTGCTGAAGCCATCATGATAAAAAAAAACTTAAACCTGACTTATGCATCCAAAAAGAGACTTTATTTAACTTATCACTACCCTGGTAACCCCTTTTTATTTATTTATTTATTTTAAAATATTTATACTCCCCCCCTATTACATAATTCTTAAACCACATTATCATTCACACATTTCCGCCACCTGATCCTCTTAAATTATCTTAACTTTTCAAATTCTATTTTATTATTATTACGTAATCCATCTTCTCATTATTCAATTCCATTATTACACCACCCAACCCGAATTAATTCCTTTTGACCTCTGACCTGTTCTAGCATATATTATTTATAATTATTATTGTAATTCAGTTAGTTACACTCATCTATGTCAATTGTTTTCACACTATCTCCATGAAACACAAATTCTATCACAATTTTGGTTTGTAAGCAGCTGACGAGAAACCTCGAAATAATATGAATTCATACTATTCTGCATCAGTGTTTGTTCTTGCTCTATTCAAATTCATAAAGGGAACCAATTGCATGAAACATAATTAAGTAGTTTTTTTAAATAAAAAAATTATATATAGTACAAATGAAAATCGAAATGATATAAAATGTCAACCAGTATCTTACGTGCAATAGTCGTTCAAATGTTCTGGAAATCTTACTGTTCTTTCAAAACGCGTTGTTTGAAGTTTATTTTCAGATGCTGTCGAAGTATCATCGAGTGTGTTAGTTGTCGGATGCGGTATTATAAGTGTCAGAGTCATGTGGTTCGATTGTACCGAAGGAAAATCAACGTGAATAAGATTTCCTTCTAAATACACTGCTTTGAGGTAACTGATGCTGATGCTATCGTTGGTTCTATTCTTATCACATTGAAAAACTTTGAAGGGCCCTTCGTATGCTTGTTCGAGAGGTCGTCGATGTGAGTTCCGACGAACGAAGACGTGTGCACTATATCGTAAGCCAGTTTGAACGGAAACATCAGTTGATTGCGGTCGAGTGGAAAGAGTTTTAACTGAATGCATTACGTTTGTAAGCCTGCTGGTGTAGGAACATAGATCCATGTTCATTGAAGAACATGAATGATCCATGAAGTCTCCTGGAAGTCGAAGTGCCGTTCCATAAACGAGTTGAGCCGCAGTGTATCCAATGTCAGCTTTCATTGCATTGCGAATACCTGGTAAGACGAGTGATAGGTACTGCTTCTGGCCATAGAGTGAAACGGTTTACGTAGGTTAACAGATAAGAGTGCCCATTTAAATCTGGTAAAGGTCCTACCAAATTCAGATAAACATGGTCGAAACGAGCGTCGGGCGTTTTGAAATAGCCTGCAACTACATTGCTTGCTCCAGTAATGTGTTGAATGACTGAAGTAAACTGCAATATGCAGTCCAGTTGGCAAGACTCTCGAGGTGAGTACTGGTCTGAAAATGAGCTTAAAGAGGTAAGCGGTTTATGATCAGTGAAAAG